GCCTGCAGTATAGCTGAAAACGTAAATTACAGAACCAAACGGGGAGGCAGGCTGTTGTCAGCCTCTCCTGCAGGCAGAAATCTAGGGGTTCTAGCCTTGCATAGATATTCTTCTACATTTACTGCTCCCCATAAGCTTGTTGAACTAAAACAGGTCCACATTGATCAGAAACTTAAAGCTTTCACAAGAAATATCTGCAGAGAGATTATTTTCCCACAGCTTTCAGCAGAAACAATGCATGTACTCAGAGAACATCTGACACGCTCAGAAGTCACCGAAAGTTTGACTTTTTCTAGAAAAAGTTAGTTAGAAAAATACTAAGCAATTATTAGAAATCTCTGCCCACCAATGCAACTATCTGATTATAAATGCATTTTAACATACTTGACCAAAACTGAACAATAATTGGTTGAAAATCTATCTCTGAAAAATGTCAGAGTATGAAAATTACCTAAAATTACAACAGAAGCAAAATACCATCTTGAAAACACAATTCAGCCTGGCTACTAAAACAGCCTTTCTTCTTCCCTTGCAATTTTGTACATAGCTGAAATCCAAAACAACTGTAGCAACCCTAAAGGAACTAAAAAGGAGGCATTCCTGCCAAGAAAGAAATCTACAGGTTGTTCTTTGATGTGAACTGTTGGTAGTGCACAAAGCAGTAGCTGCTCTGCTATGACCCCTTTTTCTCTTGCTAAATTCCAAAGGGAAACCAAGTTGGTTTTCCCTGAAACACTGCTGAAAGGTATTTGTGCCACTACAGAAAGAAATTAACCTAATCCAAGCAACAAAGTTTTGTATTAGGAGTAAAGGAATGCATCATGACAATGTTTGAAAGAAGATGCAGTGTAACAAAAACCTCAAATACCAAAGATCACTGCAGCAGCATTCTTGCTGCATGCTGTAGCACAGACAGAGAAAAATACTGTGGGAGGAGAGGTCTCACATTGTCTGAAACAGCAGACAGCAAGGTCCTGCTACACAAGGCAAGGTCAGTGCAACTGGAGAGTCATCTGTTTAAGAAAACACACTATTATTAGATGCAAGTTATGCAGCACTTGTGCATACTAATAGAATAAAACCATTATCCCAAAAATAAATGTTTTCAAATGGTAGCTTCGACTTTGCTCTCAGTATTTCTATTTTTTGTGTCGCATTTAAAACACTGAAACGAGCAACATAAAGAATACTGAAAATACCTGAGCATTTAATTTTTTAATTACTTATGAAATGTTACAACTGGCAAGTACAATAATATATTCAATCTAATAAGGAGGCTCCACTGAAAATGTTTTAACAAATTATTAAACTTTACTGATAGCAACATAGAATAAAAAGTAGGCCAGAGTTGACAGCCTATTTAAACTATTATGATGTGCCTCAGAGTACACTGAATAAACATTACAGTAAATATACTGGCCCATAGATTAGACTTCCTTGTACAACACTCAAGCCTGCAACGTCTCCATACTCAAAAGCTACACCAATACATACCAGTTTTGGATGTAAAGAATGCAGAAGACAGCTCCATGGAGCACCTCACACAGGCCATAAGGTGTGTGTGTCCCTGCTGCTTTAAATCATTTACTGAAAGAGCTGGTATTACCTGCGGCACCATCAGTGACACTTGACAAACTGGAGCAATGTAGTGGGCTCTGACAGAAGGATAATTCTGGTGGAGAGTTGAGGTCATTCCTTCTAGCTCTTATAGCTCACCAGTTTTCAGTAAGTGATGGTACATATAGCTGTTGTTTGAACATGTTGGATTGTTTATTATGAATGACTGGGCAGTTAAGAGAGTACTGTGGATGGCCTAGTTTAAAATCAGTGACATTAATTATGTCTTGCACAGAGATGTCAGCATGACTGAGTATATGAAACCAGAGGATCAGTCTTGGATCCCACAGCAATATATTTACAAATTAACTTTGCTGTTTCAAATAAAACCAAAATTCTGTGCCTCAAAACAGAAGAAAAATATTCATAGGAAATTCATAGAAAAAACGTTACCACTTTATCCCCAGGTCCTAACCACGAGTCTCACTTCAGTAGATGAACATTTTGCTCAAAAAAATCAAAGAGTGAAATACGACCAATATCTGGCAGAACCAGGACTACGGAAAACCCCACCCACAAGCAGATATATGTATAGGTTTGCCAAGACAAATAAAGCAGTGTGCAGAGTAAGCTGGACTGCTCTCACATAATATGTACTCAGTCATGTAGGTCCTCAAGTACACGTGCAACAACTCTCTTCTAAATGATTAAGAAGGCTCAAGAAGGGACAGAGTTAATCTAAGGAAAAATGTGGATTTCATGTTAGCACGCTAATAGCTTTCTCAAAGACAGACGTGTTGAAAAGTATTATTTACAAATTAATCAGATTGCATATTAAAGGTACAGACAGCCATTAACCTGCTGTCTGCATAATCAAACGATAGTCATTGCTCAAATGAAACCATCAATGGCTGCGTTGTGAACAAGCATCAGAGTAAGTCTGTCCATGCTGGAGCTGTATGATTTATTCCAATGTTTCAGTTACTGATATTTTCATGAAGTATATAAAACAAGAAAATAAGTAAATTATTACTAATAACACTTACCATTGTAATTTATAAAGTTTAAGAGTCATAGTCATGACCTAAAATCCATTTTGTGGTAAGTGCTGCAAAAACATTAAACAAAATGACAAACCTTGTTCTCAACTGTGGTCTTCAGTGTTTTAAAAGAAGACACTCTTCAAGAAATACTTCTGTAATCATGCAGGTAAATTAAACTGATCACTAAAAAAAAACCTTAATTTCAACACTTGATGAAAAAAATCCCTATGTAAATCATGGACTTCTAATGAAATAATAGATCAATTACTTTTTGCCTCCTTTATAACTGAAGAGTTTTTTAACTTATTCTCATTTCAAATCCAAAAACTATTGCTAAATTACACCTGCTCTTCTCCAAAAAAAAAAAAAAAGAGGGGCTGGTAACTTGAGCAAGATGTTTCCAGTGGCTGTAAATCTACAACCCTTCATGAACAGTCATCAGTGTCATTTTTCAATAAGTGCCTTGGATTTTGGTGCAGGTTCTAGTCACTGGTGGATCTTAACCTGCATATTTCTCTTGACTAAAACAGCCCTTTTGATACAAGAAATACTCTTTTCTATAGGTACTTACAAATAGAGCTCAGATTTTTTCATTAAGTTCTTTTGGATAACTTAAATATAGAGAATTTATTTTTCTCATATTAAAAATTTCCAAATCTCAAATTGTCATCTCTTATTAACTTGTTCTATGATCTCCAGTAAACAGAGCTTTCAGAAATTTTTTATTCTGCTGTAGGGCTTTCATGTTTCTTGATCTAAAAGTTTTACTTTGTGGGGGATTTTTTTTCCTTGTTAAGGTGTTGGAACTCTAGTTTGAACACCACACTTTCATTGTACAAGATGGATCACATGAAATCTGTGTTAACCGAGAGGACAGGAACTGCACTGCCTGGTTTGCAATCACAGTCTTAATAAAAAATTTCTTACCATGTATGAAAACAGGAATGAACACATTACAGAATCTGAGATTAATACCTCAGTGTGGCAAAATAAGAATGAAATCTACTTCAATGAATGACTAAGAAAGAAAGATTTTTAGTAATCCTCTGCCAATTTATGTAGATTGGACATGCTTTTTTATGTCTAGGGAATTTCTCCGTCAAGCACTTCCTAATACACAAAATGTTGTGTCTGTTTCTCGTTTCTCTTCGTCTCACTGCTCACAGATTTGTTTAGGTGTTTTTGTAATGATCACAAACACTGGTTGTTTGCTATTGACTTTTCAGGGGATGAGATACCACAGATCAAAGATGATTATTTGTAGATGGAAGCATATGCCTTTTTAAACTACATAATGATCGCTGCTTTGCAATGATTATTAAATGGTTTCTTCATAATTGGCAGGTTCTCTGATCTCCTTTCAAATATACAAACATAAAGGATTGAAATATTTAGCAAACACTTGTCATACAAACAGAGGATTCAAGTATTTAGTAAACTTTTTGTCAAACTTTCAACAAACTAAATACAACAGCAAGACCAATTCTGCTTCTCACACTATAAAACAAAACATTTTACTGTTTCCTGAAGTACAGTCGATCCTTCAGGCATTTCTCTAGCACTCTTAACCCTGGTCTTAAACTTCCTTTATCAGAAGCCCAGTTTGCAGTCACCTGTCTAGGCTCTCCTCTGTATCACCTGTGCTGGTGGCGTCCCAAGAGCGTGCAGCAGAACGGACAAGCATCGCACCCAGACACCTTGGTCCTGATTCTACAAACACTTCAGTGGAACTACTTCTGCAAGTGTTTGCATACTTTGAGTCATTGTAACTCAACGACACTTCACCAAGTGGGGCAAAGAGAAGTCTGGAGCTGGAAGGAATGCATTCGCGCCTTCATGCCTGGGCGCCAGGGCCTGCAGCACCTGCAAGGAGTGCTTAGAGCCCGCAAGAGGAGCTTGCTGAGACCCACTGAGTGCACCCTTGTCACTTATAGCCACAGGGTCCTTCCAACACCACCTCTCCAATGAATTGCACTACTTTTGGACTACAATTTGCCAAGGTTCAAGGTAAAAAATTGTTTTTACAATCGCAGTGGAAGAGAGAAAGCAAGTAGAAGAGAGCATGCAGGATAAAGGCAACCCACCCGAAACCCCTTTGCTTTTGCGTTTGGGATTTTCTTGAACCCTCGCGGAGGAAGGCGGGGAGCCCTGCAGCCGAAGGTCAGGCGAGGAGGGCGCGGGCAGCGGGTCCTGCCGGCGCTGCCGAACATGGCCGAAAGCAGAGCCCCCGCCCGCCCCCGGGCTCGGCCGCACCGGGCAGTCCTCCGCAACCCCCGCCGGGGCCAGCGGGGCCGGGCGTGCCGGGACCCTGCCCCGGGGAGCCCCCGGAGGAGAGCCAGCCTCACTCGGCAGTCGGGGAAAGAGCCTGGGAAAGCGGGCGGGGGCGAACATGGGACGCACCTTTCAGCGTCCCCCCGGCATCTTCTCCTTCTCCTTCTCCTTCTCCTCCTCCGGTCGGCCGGTGACTCCAGCGGTGGCGGTGCCTCGGTGGCGGAGCGGTCTGCGGGACGGAGCCGCCCCCGCCTCGCCGGGGCTCCACGGCCGCCGCTGCCCGGGGCGGCGAAGCGAGCGAGGCGCCTTCCCCGGCGGGCCGGGGGCGGGGGCTGCGGGCGCGGACCGCCCCGCCGGGCCCGGCAGGGACGGGGGGAGCCGGGGAGGGGCAGGGGCAGCGCTGCTGGCTGAGTCAGCCGCGCTCGGAGGGCGCGGGGCCGCCCGCTAGGGTTGCCCCGGGACCGCCCCTCCTCGGTGCTGGGGAGCGCGGTTGTCCCGCCGGGCAGCTGTCCCCGGGACGGGTCGCTGGGATCATTCCCCGCACACGCGGCAGGCGGGATGCCGCAGCTCCTCCTTGTCCTGCCCTGGGCAGCCCCGCGCTCCCACAGGCACCGCGGCGAGGCGGGCGGCTCTGCAGCCCCGCGGCAGCGCCGCCGCTCCGCTGCCTCGGGGGCTGCGCGGTCCGGGGCAGCTCCGCTCGCTCCGGGCGGCGTGTGGAGCGCTCCCCGTCCGGCAAGTGCGGCAGCAGGGAAGCGGAATCGCTCCCTCCGGCTCCCAGTGCGCGCCACTGCTCATAAAGGACCGGGCGGCGCCCGCTGATGGGGATCCCTGAAGCCCGGGAGCGCCCCGTGTCCCGTCCCGCCGCGGGGCACTCCCCCGCTGGAGCCCGCGGAAGAGCTCCCTCCTGCCTCCCGCAGACGGGGCCGCCGGCCGAGCGCCGCTCCCCGCGACCCCGCGGGGCTGGACGCGCTCCAGCGCCATCGCCATCGCCATCGCCGTGCGCGCCCCCCGAGCGGGGGCGGGCCGGGCCGGGGCTGTGTCACCGCATCGGAATGTCGGCCCGCGCCCCCCGTCCTGCTCGTCCCCCGCAGCGGAGCGGAGCGGAGCGGAGCGCGGGAACCGCGGCCGGGCTCGAGGAGCATCATCTCCGCGGAGAGCGCGGAGCCTGGGCAAGGGGAGGGGAACGCGGCGTGGGTTCCATCGGCGCTGCGGAAAAACCGCAGTTTGGTAGAACCCAGTAGTGCATTTTTGCCTACGAGCTTTTCCACAAGGAGTACAAGAAGTAAAAGAGGCTCGTAAACTCTCAGTTTAAAGGAAGCATTCTCATTTTTTAAACTGGTGAGAGTTGATCAGAGATAACACGGGTTTATTTAGGACATTTTTACATGAAGGGCAACGATTCTCATAACAAAGGTAAAACTTACAGTTCATTGACTTCATTCTCTTCCAGTGCAAGGAATTCATCGTACTATTTTCTATACGACCACTTGAAAGTCAGATTTATCTCTACCTATTCTGTTACCTCAGCAAACACTCAGCACCTCATTGCAATGGACTTGTGACCATAATACACGAGTATCGATGCCCTGTAGATAATGATGATAGCAGAGAAAGTCTATTAGCAAATAGTCTATTCAACAAATACATTAAAAAAGCCAGTGAAATTATCCAGTGGTAAATTATGTATTTTCAAAAAGTTTATATGTTGTTATTTGGATTTTTTAAACTAATTAGGATGTATATAGTGTGTTATATATTGTATTTATTCACTTACTATTTCCTGGCTTTACATTTGTTATCTATTCTGATTCTTTCCACGGTTTACAGGTTCTGATTATTAGAATAGGGAGCACAAATGCATTCACTATGGTAAAACACCTTGATATTTTTAGCAGTGTAACATCTAAATCTTTTATTAAGAAACATGAGACATGGCCAGTCTGAACTAATTCAGGTAATTAACTCATAATATTGAGCATTCTACACTGAAATACAGGACAGATTGGATAAAATCCAGGTCTGTGGAAAATTTAATATTCCCTTTGCCTCCAGCATGGCCTGGATTTCATTCACTACATATAGTACCCAAAAAATGCCACAATACAATATTTTGCAAAAAGTAAAATTTGAGTAGTGAATCTTTTCCAATTCATGTTCTGTGTGATCTGTATATTTTTCAGTACTTTCATATATTTAGATACTGAATACTGGCCCAATATACATTTAGTTAATAATACTCTAGTGTACTCTACAATTTATTAGTGTCAGTTGCTTCATAACAAAGCTTGGCAATAGGTTTTCAGCTCTACAATACTGACAATAAACTATCCTCTAAACACACAGGCAACAAGAACCTTTCCATGGAAGCTTTTTCCAGTTTCTCTCTGCTTTTCCATTTTTTTAAAGAGTGCAGGAAAGTTACCACTGCATTATTCCAAGGGAAAATATATATAATTTGTCCTTTACAATGTGTTCACACTTTATTTTTTTCAACCTGCAAAACTCCAACAATAAAAGATATCCCATATTAAAAAGAAAGTGATACTTTTTACAGAAAGGAAAATTTGGAAAAAGCACCATATTCTTGACTTGTCAAAAGATTAAGGCATCTGTCAAACTTCAGGCGCACATCAATGGGCCAACTGAGATCCAGCTCCTGACCTGGAAATTGAAGACTTCCTCACTTCACTGGAAGATTATTTAACAGTAAGATTTTTGAACATTGTGAAAGAGACAAGTTGGATACAAGTGGCAGGTGATATCTACAGAATAATTAGATGCTCATTCCCTCCAGGATGACATTTGCTTCTGTGAATACTGTAGGAAAGAAGAAATTACCAGTATAAAAAAGCTTCAGCACTGCTCTCTTTCTAAAATGTATTTATGCAATTAAGAGTTCAAAAATTGCATCCCTATAAAGCACTCCAGGATGAGAAAAATTTGAATATGAAGTAATAACGGTGCTTAGAAATATCTAATAAAGTAAGATGCTACTTAAAATTTTAACGTGACTTCCTTCTTTAAAAACAAGTCAAAAATTACACACAGATGATGAGAAGGATGAAATTGCATCCCAGCTACACATCTGCAGTTGAGACAAGGCATCTTCTTTCCATTCCAAGAGAAGTACATGATCCTTTGGGATGCTGCAAGCAGATTTACTTTGGAAAAAGCTCATTTCCTTGGTGACAGGTTAGAAAGCTGCCTGTTAGGATAGTCAACCCAGGTAACCTGTTTGCCTTCATTATGGTGAGATTCACTGGGTTTGGACCTCTCTCCCTGGTTGTACACACAACAGAAATAATTCCCCTCAGCCAAAGTCACTGACCTTTTTTCAAAATTAATTTGTTCCCAAGGTGGGAGAACTTTGCAGGCACCCAGACCTCCACTTTCTGTGGGGAATCCCATGCCCAAACTTTACAGAAGTGGATTTTGAGCAGGCCTGGCAACCTCAGTGCTATACAGATGAAGAAAATATTTTTTTGCTGAACTTGACTCATGGGTCACAGTTTCTTTTTAACGTTCTCAGCCAAGCAGAGAGTGCCTTAAGAATGCTTCAGTTTTCTCTCTCATTGTCCATCAGTGTCTTCCCTGTTTTCATGAGAACTCGCTGTTAATCATCACACTGTACCACTACTCCATCAGGCTTGACAATATAGAAAGACAACACATCCAGCTCAAATACAGTATTTGTAGGCAGAGAAAAATACAGGACTTTCAGAAAACAACAATGTGTCTTTTAGCTCTTTTATCTGCTAATAGTCTTCTACCGACCATGTATTTCGGAGTCTGGGTTACAAAACTGAGTGAGAGATGAACTTCAAAGTGATGCATAAATATTGAATTCCACACATTCCTGTGAGATGGTAAGTATTATTCACATTATACAGATGGGGAAACTAAAGCAATGTGAGTTTACTTGGGCAATTTTCCCATCAGGAAAAAAAAAAGTAACTACAGCGGTAGCATCAGTAGTCAAGAATACCTGGCTTTTTTCTGCACTCACTCTGAACTGCACATCACTTGTCTAAAGCCTGCAACAAAGGGTTTATAAACCTATAAAGGAATATTTTGTTTTCAATCGTGATATTATATAGCAATATTTTCAATTTATTTAACAAATTACATAAAACACTTAAAATATGCTTTTAATTAAAAAAAAAATAGCCAAAAGGTTTTTCCTTGGGCTTTCCTCCAAAAGTCACCCTTCAGCTAGGACTAAAGAAAAGCATGCATGCTTGCACACATGCAAACAGAAATTCTAAAAGAAAATTAGAAACACATGAAAATAAGGACTGAGAATGTTTTCTTAACTGCACTCTGGTTTCAATACAGCAAAATTTTCATTGATTTACTAATGGATAGAATTTTCCTTGTGAAGTAACACACAGGCCTTATCTGCAATTAATTCCTTGCTTCCATTAAACCAATTATCATCCTAGAGAAGCACAGCCCACAGAGGCAGGGTAATGACTGCTCTGTCAGGGCAGCTGAGCTCTCTCTACAAAGCACAACCCTACTGAAGTCATAAGGTGATTCCGTCCTATGGGAAGAGTTTTTACAGAAAGAGTTTCAGTTAAGACAATTATTATGTTAGTAAGAGCTAGATTTTTGAGGCTATTATTGCTAGATAAATAATCACAACAAGTTGTGTTCTATACTGATTCTCAAAATAATAAATAAATAATACAAACTACTTGAATTTCAGAAATTGTTTTTAAATTATTAACTCTGGACTGGAGGTTTCTTATGAAGCCTGCTATTCTATGAATATTACAGCTTTGTAACTACATTACAGACTTAATGTTACTTTACATGATGTAATGTGAGGTTCTTGCCTATCTGACCATTAAAGCCATCATCAGTCATGGAGGCAATTCTGAAAGTTTAATGAACTTGCTCAATGACTTTCTGACATTTCAATTAGGAAGAAAAAAATGTAACCAGATAAACCAAATAACTGTTAAAAAAGACTGAAACAACGAGCTTTGGAACTGACATCAGCTGTTTGACTTTCAAATCATTAGTAAAGTCATCCTCCAATTAGTCTTTGGAAGGGATACAAAAGGTTTTGTAGCAAACATGGAAAAAACGCACATATTATTTTCAAGTATCTCTGAAATAGAACATTTCTGATAAGGATAATTAATTATACATATGGAATAATTGCATTATCACTTTTTTGGCTATTCAAGTTTTAGTCTGAGAAATTAATTATTGCAGTGGAGTTACTCCTAATATAGATGAAATTAAAGCCTTTCTATGCCTTAATTGTAT